AGCTGCTTCACGGTCGCCCATTTTGGTTGAGTACGTGGAGAGATAACACGTGTTTTGTGTGGGAGTGCTGAGATTTGTGAGTGATCAACATCCCCGGGTGATCAACATCCCGGTCAGCTAGCTTACACGCTAAGATCACGCTAAATATCGCACGGGCCGTGCCTTCTCCACCCCGCGATGCCACGATGAACTCGACGTCTTTCACCGTATCTTCCTGGCAACTAAGTGGCGATTTGACCACTGCTCATTATCCTTCGCCAGTGTTAGGAAATAACTCTCACTTAGTCACTTTAACTTCGCCGAACAACTCCGCCTCGAACAGCAGATTGTACAATGCGGGCTGTACTGGCGAAGCAGCTCAACAACGAGCGAACGAACTCCAACTTGAAGCAGAAGAGACAGTGGTTGTTCAACTCACCCAGTATGACTACACAGCGCACCTTTACTCTACTTTCGTTTCTTGAGTTCTTATTCTTCACTATCGACCATGAATCGAAATGAAGTTTCGTAAACAGTGACCACCGAAAGAATGAAACTGGGAATCTCTGGATAAAGAGCGGAACCAGCGACGATGGGATTCATATTGAGCACCAAAGACCTCGCAACAGCTAATGCGTCCGAACATGATCAGATCAAGAGGGTTCTAGAGCCGTTCCGACAGATCTTCATGACTATACTAGAGAACGCAGAGAACGATTGCGTAAGTCATTTCACAATAGACCGGACTTACAGCCCCGCAATTATCACTCTTCACCCTGCCAATGGAAATGATTTTAGCGTTAGCGCAAAGGGTCGAGCAGCCTTTCCGCCGAGCGTTCCTTACGATATGCAAACAGCGATCTTGAAGTTCAACCAGTGTGACCTGAGCGTTCTCAGTCTCTTGTGTTGGATTCGCGATGCGCTTCGGCCAACTGGTGCTACAGTAGATTGGCTAATGATCGTTTCTGTCCGACCTCTTTCCATACTTCACTATTCTGACGAAGAACCCGTAACGAGGAATGGCCGTCATTCGGTACTCGCAATCACCACTGCGAGTCGCGAAGAATATATCGCGGACTTCACGCTTGAACAGTTCGGATATCCGGCCGAACTTTGGTTCCTCGAGAAAGCAGAATATCTTACACGCTTTGTGGAGGCAGGAGCAAGTTGGCGCATTGCTTCTGCGGAGGACATGGACGACGCGCATTGTGATATTGCAGAGTGTGATATTCAGCAACCCATTAGGACCTGTATTGATGCTGTTTGCCAAGAAATCGATTGGCTGAGTTATTACAAGCTTTCGGCTGAAGAACGCATACCCTGGCTGGAAGCTCGCATTCGAGAAACCGTAGGTAGGCTTGAAGCAGAAGACGAACTGGACTCAACACTAGAGGCCGCTTAGTATAGAGGCAAGTTCATAAATGCACGGCAAGTGTGAGACTTCCTCCAGTTTGCGATGGTATTTGTTGCAATTTACAATTCCGTACAAGTTGTGATTGGCTCGTCGGCTCAGTGTCATCTCCACCCGAAGGACAATAACCTAGGGAAGACTGGTGATGGTCTCCACTTCTTCACAGGGGAAGCAGTATCCACCCATCACGGTGAAAGCTAGTCCTCATCTGCAGTCACGCGCTATCACATGTGTATCTGGAAAAATATTCCCTCTGTGAAGGTCGAGACTGATAACCTTATAGTTCAACCCTACCCAACAACAGCCGTGTTGCTACTTCTTCAATTCTTGCAATAATACATCCATGGGTCGCGCAGCGCCAGTTCATCTCTCGCTACCTGAAGCAGTGGCGACAACATCACTGCCGAAATCATGTGCGCTCTCACCGCTACGTATCGATGATACGAAACCCTTCAGGTTCTTGGATCTACCAAAGGAAATACGTCAGATGATCTATGGAGAGCTACGCCCAACTACACAGCGTCATAAGTTGCACCTGCAAGAGGGCCAAGATCATATGACACTAGTCTGTACAACGATACCAGGTGTATCAATCCTAGCAGCCAACCGACAGATCTATGAAGAAGCAGGGTACATACTGAGCCCGCTCCTCAAGAAGATCTTAGCAACACCACCGACAGTCACTATCAGAGCAAACCACCTTCTTGGTCTCGTAAACCTCAACAACTCTTTCGCCATCTCACGCATATTCTGGAGTTGGTTGACCTGTCTCTTGAAACACCGACTGTCCAGCTGCGTGAAAGATATCCGCCGTTACCGCGATGGCACAATATCGAGCGCAAAATTACTTAAACAACTTTACACAAAAGGCTTCACTCGGAAACATATCGATGCAAAGATGTTGGAGGCTCTGATTAACTTCCTCCTACGAACGATCAAATACGCAGGCACAAAACCAAAACCCATGTACACATATCCCCCTATCACAGTCGTCGTCGAGGTCCCAGATGGCTTCATTGGGCTGCCTGTTGTCACGACGACCTCCAGAGCAAAGAGATTGGCCTTCAAGATAATGTGTCCCCATAGCCCCACACCACGACGAGTATTTAGCGGCTATGGTGATCTACCCTGGTTGCTCCATCGATTGGCTTATCACGATTGTATAGCTGGTCACAACCGCCAAGACGTCTCTTTCAACGTGCGTTTAAGGTTCTTGGGTCCTGACGAAGCGGAGATTAGACAGCCGTCTTGGCATCTTTTCTCGGAAGACCAGCTTCATGTGCAGATGATCAAGGGAGTTAGAGCAGCGCGGAGCACGGGGAAAGGACTACTGTATTACGGGGGTCTAGTGCAGAATGGGATCAATGAAGAGGTTTGACCTGGATACTGGCAGATCAGGGCTGGGGTGTTGATTCGAGCATAGCCGAACGAGAAGGAACCGGTGTGGAGATCAGGCGTCTTACGCCGTATTTATACATTGATCCGTGCATCGGCCTTTCCTTTCTTGCACTAGATTACATGAACAAAGGATGTACTGCTTGTAGTCTCCGAAAACATCCCACTTCAACTTTATATGCCCAAAGATACGTCTATCGAGGATGAGTGTTCGATCTCGAAGACCTGGAGGACGGGCAGGATCAGCAGCGGCGCACCGGGTACGTACATGTCCCCCGCACATACGAATTTCAAAGTTGATGGTCGCCAGGATGTGTCTCGCAACCAGATAAGGGAAAGGCAACCGCGTTTCTTGCTTATGTGGAATGAGATTCGTAAGGCAACTCACTGAATCATGTCTCTATAGCTAATCGATGTTGCAGCCAATTGGTACCAGTACATTCACCCTTTGATAGGTACTTGCACGAACGTGCGCTCACAAGGCTTAGAGATAATGAGTATATCTTGTCTGGCTATAGGTAAGGTCATCGACAATCTTGTATCGTGGTTGTCTTCTGAACGCGAAGAAACACAGAGCAGTCTCAGGATCCTACAGAAAATGCTTCAGGAGCATCATCAGTATCCATAACGAAACCGGTAAGATTGTATGCAGCGCCCATAGTGGGTGAGCTAACTTCTCTCTAGTAAACATATTCTCGCATCTCATAGGATCAGTACTATTCTTTGCACTTCCAATACCGGTATACTATTCCTTGCAGCCGAGATACGGCACGGCAACCACAGCAGACGTTGTCGTATTCTCTACCTTCTTTTTCGGTGTCGCAATTTGCTTTGCGCTATCTGCAACGTACCACGCTCCGCGTCTCTGTTTCTCTGGCATCCAAAAGCTGACATGAGTGGCAGTTTTCACGTCTTCAACAACCACAGCGAAAGCATTCACGTCTTCGGTAATCAGCTCGACTACGTAAGCAAACTCCACGTCGCAGCACGTCGTTGTAGAGAATAACCGAGCGCCTCCCACTAGTCAGCTACCCAAGGGCGCTCGATTTTTGCCTGCAACGACATGACAGTATCATTCAGCTACTGACTGCTCTAGCTTGGCATCGTGATACTCATGTGGGGCTCCACCATCCCGTGCGTTCACTATGGCTTCTATTGTACACAACGACTACAAACTACATATTACACCCTCGTCTCGGTCTTAGCAGCAGGCTGTGTCTACGCGACGCTTCACCCAGCTTTCCGTCGTCCAAAGTATCGTCCATACCGCGCAGCCATGTATTCTGGGCTTGGCCTCTCGTTCATCATCCCCATCGTTCATGGCTTGTTGAAGTTTGGCTGGGAGACGCAAATGTGGAGGATGAGTCTGGACTGGATGGCGTTGATGACGGCATTCAACCTTACCGGCGGCGCGTTGTACGCTATGAGAGTAAGTTTAAGAGCCCTCTGACCACGTTGATCTCGTCAATACATAGGGAAGGCTGATCATGCGTAGATCCCAGAGAAATGGTATCCCTATCGATTTGATATCTGGGGCTCAAGCCACCAGATTATGCATTGCCTCGTTGTCTGTGCTGGCATTGCCCACCTGTTTGGTCTGCTGAGAGCATTTGATCACGTACATGGATATGGAAACGTCTGTATGACATGATGAGGGTAGCCACTCGGTTAATGCCCAACATGCTGCAATATCATTCAAGACTTAGTAAGGAGATACACGTATCAAGTATTAGACTATACTCTCGACCCAACTACGTACAACCATCTCAAACTAATCACAGCACAAACCCACCCGTAGTAACCACCTTCCAGCTTCGCACCGGATGCGTATCCTCAAGTTCAACACACCACCAGAGCACATCCTTCGTCTTTTCGATCTGCCCACTTTCCTCGTATGCCCTAGCCATCGCATACCATGCCTCAGAGTAGTCCCAACCAGCACCAAGCTTGGTGAGTGTGGACAGTAGACCGTATGCACGGTCTCGCGCGGCAAGACGGGTAAGCTCTGGGGAGGAGAGCTGGTTCTCTACTGATGGCGTGTGCGAAGTCAGGTATTGTGTCTTCGATTTGGTTATGCTTGGTTGGTCGGGAGATGCCGATGGTGGTAAAGGATGCACGACACCGTCGGCATTGGCAGGCTCCAGTGGTATCGCCTCGGTGTAGATGTCCAAGAGAATGTTCGACAGGCCGACAATGGCCTCAGGGTGGTCGGGAAAATGTTGTAGAGCGCGCTCAAAGTCTACACGAGCTTCATGCTTCAGCGACTGGGCTACGAGCTGTTCTGCACGCTATGAAATATGTTAGTAAAGAGCGGTACGAACGTCTTATGAACACTTACAGCAGCGAACACGTCAGCCCACAGCTCTTCAACACTCTTACCACCACCCCATCCTTTTTCAGCGAGCGCCTTGGCTGTTGAGGATTCCAATGATACCTCTGCCTCAAACGCCTCCACCAGCTTCAATGCCTCAGCGACAGCCTCCCGGCCATCCTGAAACATGTGCGCCCTTGCATACAGCCCAGAGATAAAGATCCATATGCTGACCAATAAGGAAACTTTCTGGCGACGCTCTTGGATTTTGGAGAAGTAAGGGTCCGCAGGGATATAATTTGCATGCGGGAGGCGAGAAGGTAGGCGGGTGTCTTGTCTAGGAGGATGTTCTTCGTGACCCAGTGGTGGGGCGGCATGATCAAGGTTATGAGGAATATCTCGCAACGGTCGTTCACCACTTTCTACAGATTTTCTCTGGGGGCTAGAAACGGAAGTTGGGTGAGGAGACTTTGAGGGCGTGCCATTTGTAGGAATTTCTGGAAGCGGTGGTACCTCTGATGTAGGATCTTTACTTGCGTGACCATCATTCTGTTTGTGGTGATGGAATAGATGGTGACGGTGGTGACCGTTAGCATGATCTGCACCTTTGTCGTCGGTAACTTGAATCGCCGGAGGCACTTCTGGGTTCGTCGTAGCCGTGTTCCCGCTGACCGCCGATGTATTCCGAGGGACGGTTTCTTGCTGAGTTGTCCTGACTGATCCTCGTCCGCGGAAAATACTTCCTCGACCAGCTCCCACAGCACTTTTTGGGGGCGCCAGTGCTGCAGGTTCAGGTGCGGGCTTGACTTTGTCAGCTGCCGGGTCACCGAACAGTCTGCCATATAACGCAAGAAGTTCGTCACACCCGTCTACTGCGGCGGTGGCGCCATCAGTGATTTCGAGCAAAGACAGCTGCGTCATCTTAATCTGCAGTATGTTGCTCTTCTCGAAGCGTTCCATGCGATCTACAACACCTGATTCGAGCGTGTCTTGCCCAGCAGCTTGGTTGAGGTGTTCGCTTCGGAAAGCGCCCGAATCACGACCGAAAAGGATAGCGGGATCACCGAACTGCTCGAAAGCTGCCTCGCATGCCTTCTCAGCAGCGGCAAACTCGGATCGCGATGTGAGAAGTAGACCGAGAAGGTGCCATACGGGTATTAGCTTTCGTTCGCGTCCAAACTCAGTCGGAATGCCACCAGAAATGACTCCATCTGTACTAATAGTCGTACCCTTTGTCGCTGGAGAAAGTGCACGTTTGGCAACCTTGATGGCCCCAGGGATATCTCGTGTCTCTGCTAGAACCAAAGCCAGTGCGTATAGGGCTTCCACGTTGTGTTCGTCGCCGAGACTCGGTGACAATGACTTCCTTAGGTATTGTATAGCTTTGGCCTGGATCTTCGCACGCGCCTCAACTTCGTATGTCAATCGTGCCCAGTGCGCCTGACTGACACCGATGGCACAGTAAGCGGCAGCTAAAGCTGTAGGTTCGACCACGGACTCGGAAAAGACGACAGAGCCGGCATCGGACATTGACCTGAGGTGATCCGCCTGTTCAAGCCAGTGCTCGATACTGTGGCTGATCTCAAGAGCCCGCTCAGCATCGTGCCTAGACCCCCAACGACAGAGCATCCTGATGGCCTCGGCGGAGGTCCTCATGACGGTACTATCGTCGTCAATGCCCGCCTCCACTTCGCCTGACTTTTCTGATCGATCCTTGTTGCGTGTGATAATCTCGACATACGAATCGTAAGCTTTGTATGCCAATTCAGGCTCGGCGAGGGACGCGTGGACAACGAAAAGGTTGCGCAAGATCTGCGTAGAATGGTATGTCTTGGTGGCCGCTCGGTAGAGTATCTAGATGTTGTCAGTCTAAGGTTGTCATGAAATACAGGTGTCTTACATCAAGAACACCTCGTGCGACACCCTCCTTTCCACCTTCGCCCAGATCATCGTCACTCCAGCTGGGACCACATAGAAGGCGCCAGTTGTCCATGACAGAGTCCACCCACGCTTCAACTTCATGGTTAGTCTCACTAGCTTTAGGGAACTTGGTCTCCCTTATCAACAAGTTCTCGTAGACAGCCTCTACTCGTTTCAGTTCTGCTCTTTGCCGTAGACGTGCGTCGGACTGGGCGGTTGGTGTTGGCTTCTCTTGGATGATGGGTGTCGAATCAGGTTCGTAGGCTAGGTCGTAACGGAGGATCGTGGACAGCGAATCGTAGTATGCCTTCCATGCTAATCGTCGATATAATGCTGAACTGCCGGTGTCTGACGCAGCATTCTTGGAGGTTGCGTCCCAGAACTTCGCCCAGTAGCGGTAGGTACGGAGAGCATCGGACGCGTTGATCTTCTCGCTGGTGCCCGCGGACTGATCAGAGAGCCGGCAGAGGCGGACGAGAGACTGTTCGCCCCACATTTTGAACTGGGCTGATTCAGTGTTTGGGGTGGTGTTGGAGGATAGCCAAGGTATCATGGACGAGTAGGTCGTGACTGCCTCGTCTGTGGCGCCTGTCTTCTCGAGCCCAGAGCCTGTGTTGTGTTAGTTTTCCGAGCCGCCGCCGAGTGCTTCCATATACTCGTACCCTTCAGATATGTGCCCTTGACTAGACAGACCTTTGACCAGCCACTTAATGTGCCTGACTCCCCGGACAGCTGGGTCGCCATTGCCCCAAAGTCTTGCGGTAGCCGCGCAACTGCCTGTCCTGGCTCGCCCAGTACGTAGTGAGCCCAAGCCAGGCAGACGTTGGCCTGGAAGATATCTTGGCCCTGTGTGCCATCTTCTTCGATTGTAGCGAGTAGTGTGGGTATGATATTTGACAGGTCGCCGGTAGACGCGGTAGAGGAGGCCGTCGAGGGCCTTTGGGAACTATGGGTGGCTATTTGGGCGTCGGATCGCGCGGTGAGGGTGAGGCCTTTGATTGCCGTTAGTCCTCAGAACGACCAAATAGAGAGGTTTGCTGACATCGTCGGTGCGGCGCATGCTTCTCGACCTTGCGACATAGCTCAGGGACGTCAGGCCATCGCCCGGCGCATCTTGCTTCATCCAATTGCTGTATGTAGCGCTTGGCCTTCTCGTTTTCGGGGGCGTTCTGTATGTCCAGTAAGCTACCGTTGTCGAGCATGACGTTGCTAGGGGTCCTGGCGAAGAAGAAGAGTCATGACGACATACCACCATGATGTTAAGAATATGCCTTTGGCACTAGACAAAGTCGCGATACTTGTAGAATCATGTTCGACGAGCAATACTGAATGCGACGCCGCCTGCCATGGCTGTACACATGTCACAGACCGACTGCTATGCCAGTCCCACTCTTCCCAGTTGGCCCGCACATCCCTGCAGTCTTAGCGCCATGCGGTCCGACGCTAACTCCGAGGCTCGAACTTTTTTCCTATCATCTTTCCGCGACAACAAGTCCGCTGATCAGAATCCAGCTGGGAAGAAGAGAAGAAAGAGAAGGGATCGCTATCATCATGGCGCCCGTCGCATCCGAGTTGGCAACACTGCGCGCACTTAGTTTCCGCATCTCGTCCACGCCAACATCTCAGCTTCCCCAACACGTGCCTGCCATAGCTGCATCACTAGCCAATTGCAGAACTCTACTCTCCTCGGCTCAGGCCTCAGGTACCAAGGCGACATCCTCTGAAGCATCTGTCGCCATACACAAATTCAGGACTCTCCTCTCCACCTTGCTCCAAGATCGGACTCCCCATGGAAGATGGTGTGCCATAGTGCTGATCAAAGCCACTATTGAAGTTGGAGGTTGGGAGACTCTACAAAAGAGTTTGCCGTGGGTGCGCGGTCTTCTGGGATTCCTAAACAAGCCAGATTCGCCATCGTCCAAGAAGCTGTGCATCATCACCTTGACACGGATCTTCCTCCTAACCAGGGAATACCCGACGTTGATTCGCGAAATTACCACTCCGTCCTTGCCACCATTTCTCCAGACCTGCTTGCAGCTAGCGAACGCCAAAGCGACTCCCGTCAGTCTGCTGCAGATCATCCTGGAGAGCTTTAATGAGCTACTGCCCCGACATCCTACTATCTTCAGGTCTTACCTCAAGCAACTTTACCCGCTTCTGGGACGCCTCATCGCACCCACACCATCTGATAAGACCAGTCAAGAGCAGCAAACCGGAGCTAGATTTGGGACTTGCTCCGAACTTACCAACGCGGCGCGCCAGCTTTATGTGCAACTGCCCTGCTGTGCGCCGAAGGGCGCTTCGAGCGAAGAGTGGACGAAGGCTGTGAAGAATATCACAAACCTCACTCATCTGACTTCGGACCGCGTGTTCCGTGCTGTGGTAGAGGACTGGCAATCTTCAGCGCGGGAAGCACCCCTCTCGAACGGACATACACTAGACGATGAAGTCCAAGATCTAGAGCCTGGCTCCGATCTTTCACCATGGTCAGGAATCTTTGCTGGTGGTGAGCGTTTGGCGGGACTTCTCTACGTCATCAAGGAATACATTGAAAGCCCTACAGTAAACACAGTGTATCTCAATGTTGGCATGATAGTAGACTTGGTCTCAAGGATGCTTTCTCTTACAGTTACAGCGTCTGCGAGCAAGAACTTCCAGAACACTGTGCGCCTGAATGCGCAAGTTAGTAAAGAAGAGCGTGAAAGTCTCTGGTTGCTACTACCAGACGTGCACGTTGCAGCTATCGAGGTGCTTCTCGCGTTAGCACACCGATCTCAGACTAGCACATTGGCATTGGACCCTATCATCATCGACCAACTCGTATGGGTATTTGGCGCAGAGAAGGAGACTAGCCAGATCCGAACGGTGTGTTACACCGCCATTGCTGCTCTACTAAAGAGATCCGGTGTCGCTCTACACAAGGCTACTATCGACTCTCTCGTACCGCTCATCCGTACTTGCTGCGATGATCTGCTACCATCCGAGATCGCGGCACCTTCGACCCAACAGACTCCCGGCCAAGCCAAGGCGAATGGCAACAGTCAACCTCAAACTACCGCTAATGCCGATAGCTTCCTCGGTACTACGAAAAACATTAGCGGACCCAACCTTGGATTTGATGGTCTGAAACAAGCCGCTCACAATCTGCTTCCCGTTTTGGTTTCGAACATTCCGGCTCAATACCTCTCCGACTCGATGCGAGGCCGGCTAGATCGCACCGCTATCCTTACGCAACACAAAGACGCCATGGTAGCTAGCGTGCTGAATCCACCACCAAGCAAGAAGTTTGGAAAGCCTGCCGCAAGCATCCTACCACTTATGGCCCGGTCTTTCTCGGCCGAGAAGGATGTCGAAGGCATGCTCCGACCAAGAATGCCGGTGATCCGTTTGGGCGGTAAAGACTTGGAGGTGGAAAATGAGAACGATGACGACGAAGAGATGGAAGTTGAAGAAGAGCAGGCGGAGGAAGAAGAGACGCAATCGTCGGAACAGGCGGATGATCACTTTGCTGGACAGGAGTTGGACGACCTACTGGAGACAGCTAGCCAGCCAGATACAGTCGCAAAGGACTTTGCTATGAAGGATGCGCCAACACCCAGCAAGCTTATCGAATCTACCCCACGATCGGTTCGTAAAGGTACACTTGCGCAACGCCCTAACATCTCTGAACCTACTGCTTTCACCGAGACGAAGCGACCGATAGGCGAGGATGGGCCTCTTTCACCATCCAAGCGACCGAGGACCGACGAAGACGAACAGCGCACAGCACACCCAATTCCTCCTGTTTCGGCATTTGCGATTTCATCAAGTGGCGCAGCTTCTGATACTACTGTACCCGCTACCTCAGATTTCGCCGCTACCAGCACTGCTTCAGTTGTGCCTGAACTTCCGGAGCCAGGTGAAGGAGGCGATGACGATGACAGTGACGACGACAAGATATCCCTGGTACTTGGTCAAGACACGGACGATGAGTCAGATTAGGGGTTTGTGCAGTAGCAGTAATCGTATAGTTATTGTAGCTTGCTGAAAGGCAGTGAAGTGGTAATTGCAAACGCAGCCTGTGCACGGACATATATCTCATTCTCCCACCAAACAACGGTTTTCTTTGACCCTGTGATTGCTAGTGCCTACACCGACAAGACCAATTTCGCGACTTCTAACAGCAGCGCTCAGTGCCATACGTGCGATATCGATAGTCGGACGTTCGACTATCTTGATGGCAAGACATACTCACATACCAGAAGCACCGCCGTATATGCGCGGGCCTACAACAGTCCTTCCACTACAACTCAACGAGCCGCTATCATTTAAGCAGCCTCTGAAGATCCCAAAGGAGAAGGAATACCCCTGGGACTCGCACCAAGACGATATTGTCGTCAATAGTACCGAGCTCAATACAGCAGGCCGCAAGTTGGGGATCGACCATTATCGACACCAACTCACTTTGCGGAAGACGTATGAGCACATCACCACAGACTTTGCAGAGGACATGGAGAAGCTCGTTCCTAGAGACGCGCTACCTGTGCCCTGTTCTTCATCTCCACTATCCTCTGACAACGAGAACGAAAAAGAGAATGATGACGGAGACATGGAGCATGTTGAGCATAAGATCTGGGACGGCAAAGCCCGCCTTCCTAAACCCAAGTTCAACCGTCTCGATTATGACTGGCCAATCTACCGCGCCACAACTACCAATCCTTCCGTCTTCCTCGCCATTATACGCATCGCAGAAAAGAATCTCCCGTTCATAAACTTCGATTCCGCCATTACACATCTGCCCAACCGACCCGTAAACGCTTCTCTACCAATTCTTCCATTCAACAACGCTCCCAACCGAAAGTGGAAAGGCAAGGAGAAGGCTGTGTTCACGGACGATCTACCGTATGAGAAGAAGAAAGATGAGCAGCTCATGACTGTCCTCTTCTTACCGGAGTTCTACAAAGATGGCAGGCATGCTGTGGGCAGAGTTGCTAACAATCAATCCAAACTGATGAGACTGACTGACTGACTGATTGCTTGGCAGTCAGTTCAGTGTCAGTTTAGAGCTCTCGTCTTATCAGTCAGTTCAGTTTAGAGCTCTTAAACT